CCTGGCTTCAGCGTGGCCCAGCATCGGTTCTTGTGGCCATTTGGGGAGTGAATCAAAAGATAGGAGATCTCTTTGTCTCTTCTCTCTGTAAATCTGCCTCTCCATTAAAAATCAATAAATCTTTTTTTTTTTAAATCCCTCTCTCTGTCTCTCCTTCTTTGCAACTCTGCCTTTCAAATGAATCAAAAGAAGTCTTTAAAAACAGTAAAAATAAAAGAGACTCTTCTCATTCCGATAACCATTGTCTGAAGTCACCAACAGTTGCCTTAAATCAACAATTTCTTTGCTGATGTGTGCTTCTTACCCTCCAGCCCTGCCTGCAACTCCTCCTTTCTCCTCTTTGGGGATTAAGAATGGGACTGCAAAGTCACTTTCATAACCATCTGAGTAAAATATCAGAAGATCCATTCTTTGGTTGGCACTGTGGTACTAGGGTTAAGCTGTGCCTGTGGTGCCAGCATCCTGTCAGAGCACTGATTTGACACCCAGTTGCTCCACAAATGATCCAGCTCTACGGCAATTTGCCTAGAAAGGCAACTGCCACCTACAAGGGACACCCAGATAAGGTTCCTGGCTGCTGGCTTCAGCCTAGCCCTAGTTCTTACAGCCATTTGGGAAGAGAACCAGAGGATAGAAGATCTCTCTGTCTTTGATGTTCTGATTTTAAAATAAATACATTTGAAAAAAGAAATTGATTCTAAACTCCAACAGCCAGTTTTTGGGTATTAGCATTTGTACTGTGACCTACTTTGCTAAGAATCAAGGGTTAACTGCTAATGCTTGCTACAACTTTCCAAGCATTCATCAGAGCTGACAGCACACTCCCAAAGGGACCCATTAACCTTCCTGATCTGGCCTAGAGGGAGACTAAGGCCACTGGGTAACTGCTTGGCCTGAGGTACCAGTAAAACGGGCAGAGTGAGACACAATGGCCAGGCCCAGCTCTTTTATCTTGGCTACACTGCAGAACCAGAGGTGAATTTTCTGCCAGGAAATACAGCTCGGCTGGGGGCACTGGTTGTCTGTGGAAAGGCCAACTTACTGGCTTCTACCCAGGACTCTTTGGAGGAGGACAGGATTCCTTGCACAGACTTGAAGAGATCTCTCATTCTCTCTCTTTTTAAAAATATTTATTTAATTTTTTTTATTGGAAAGGCAAACAGATTTACAGAGAGGAGAGAAAGAAAGATCCTTCACGCACTGGTTTACTCCCCAAATGGCTGAAATGGCTGGAGCTGAACTGATCCAACCCAGGAGCCAGTAACTTCCTTTGTGTCTTCAAATGTGTGTGCAGGGTCCCTAGGTTTTGGGCCATCCTCTTCTGCTTTCCCAGTCATAAGCAGAGAGTCAGATTGGAAGTGGAGCAGCTGGGGACATGAACCGATGCCCACATGGAATGTCGGTGTTTGCATGGGAGGATTAGCCAATTGAGCCATTGCACCAGGTCCACTGGAAGAGCTTTCTACACCATGTGTGGAGTAGTCGCAGTAGTTCTGGCCGATGTTCTCCAAAGGGAGATCTGCAAGGGGTGGGTCCTTCTGTGGCACAGTGGGGAGGACTTGGGATAGACTGGAGGTCATCCCAGGGGTGACTGAGCAGGAATGCCAGCCTTGGCTCAGGTGTGAAGCACAGTGTTGGCCAGAGCTGCTGACCAGAACAAAGGCTTAGGGAGTTGTCTAAAATGTTTTGGCTAAAAGTCCTGTCTGGGACTTCTTGTAGGACGTTGTTGCTCAGGATCCCAGCTCTAGTTTAGCCCTCCTGAAAGGGGTTAACAAAGTGGAAAGCCACTTGGCTCTTGCCTAGAGCCCCCGCAGTTTAGTAAATTCCATTGTCTGTGCTGTATGTCTTGGGCCCTGGATTTGAGGCTGTTTTGTTCCCAGTGAAAGCGGTCCCTTCCTTGCCAGTCTCTTCCCAGCTGCAGGTTGGCACAGAGCCAGCCTCCACTCCTGGCCTTGGGCAGTGAGTGCATGAGCTGTGTGGAGGAGGCCAGCTGCTTGGTGGGGTCAGAGGGAAGGGTGTATTGGAAGGTCTCTTTCTGCAAGGCAGGGGAGGGGAGCTCTAGAGCCACTGGACAGGAGAATCAGGAGACAGGGAAGGAGCACTTCAGCTTCTGCCCATGCCTCTTGGTCCTACCTCAAATGATTGCCAGACAGCACTTGACTCTAAGGTATCTCATTCTATCCTGGCATTGAACCAGGGCCCTGGTTACGCTCTGCCCAAATTCCTCTAATAAATTTCCATATTCCTGGATTACCCTGGTCCCTGCTGAGTATGCCAGTGGCAGTAGCAGTCCCTGTGGGCAATGGCATGCCTAAGTTGGCTTCAATGGAACAGCTGTCTACTGCACATAGTGAAGGCAAGAAGGTACCCGAGAGGATGAGCTCTCTGCCACCTGCCCCCGAGACCTGGTGCAGAAACCTCTTCAGTAGACCAACCTCGTACCTGGACACTCCTGTACATCGCACCCCTAACTGCCTGGGATACCTTCTTTCCAACTGCTTGAGCTTCCTGTGTCCCTGTTGGGTCTTGCAAGTGGAAAGACATTAGTTGGTAAGGATGAAGCCTTAGGGCATGGTGCTTGCTGGGAGATGTACAATTGCATCTAGTACCCTCGATCAATCCTATCTCAATCTCCCTCATCTTCACTGATTTCATCAAAATAAAATTTCAGCATCTACAAACCACATACAGCTGCCAGGGATCAAACTTTAGGAATAACAGTAAAACAATAACATAAGTTATTGGATGCTTGGTATGCACTGGGGCCTCCACACATACTTTATCTCACTTGATCCTCATAACAAACAGACTTAGAGAAGTTGAGCGGCTTGTCCAAGATCTGGGTAGAATTTGGATTTAAAGCCCGGTGTAGTAGCTTAGTGGCTAAAGTCTTTGCCTTGCATGAGCCAGTCTCCCATATGGGTGCCAATTCGTATCCCGGCTGCTCCACTTCTTTCCAGCTCACTACTTGTGGCATGGGAAAAAAGGGGAGGATAGTCCAAAGCCTAGGGAACCTGCACCTGTGTGGGAAACCCAGAGGAAGCTCCTGGCTTTTGGCTTCAGGTCTGCTTAGTACTGGCCATTGTGGCCACTTGGGGAGTGAACCAGCGAAATCTTTCCTCTCCATGTCTCCTTTCTATAAATCTGACTTTCCAATAAAAATAAATAAATCTTTAAAAAAATGGGTTTAGACTCAGTTCGGACCTCAGAGTCCTTGCCATCAGAAATTTACACTCTATCCTCTAAAAGGAATGAAGCCCTCAGTTTAAAATGTCCAACTTTTTCACAGCACCTTCCGCACTCCCAGGCAATGATTACCAAAACCTTTGTTTTTTTCCCCTCCAATTAAGTGAAAGCTCCTCAAAGGCAATAATATGAAGGATCTTCAAAAAGTTCATGTGGGTAAAAACATTTTAAAAATAATAAAAATTTTAAAAAGTTCATGGGGAATAAAAATTATGAAAAAACTCTGCATGAATTTCTAATTCTTTGCACCAAAATAAACTTCTCTTCTTAATTATATTTCTATGAATTATTAATTTAAAAAATGTTCTTGGGCCCGGCGCGGTGGCGCAGTGGTTAAGGTCCTCACCTTGAACGCCCGGGATCCCATATGGGCACCGGTTCTAATCCCGGCAGCCCTGCTTCCCTTCCAGCTTCCTGCCTGTGGCCCGGGAAAGCAGTCGAGGATGGCCCAAAGCTTTGGGATCCTGCACCCGTGTGGGAGACCCAGAAGAGGCTCCTGGCTTCGGATCGGCATAGCATCGGCCGTTGTGCTCACTTGGGGAGTGAAACATCGGACGGAAGATCTTCCTCTCTATCTCTCCTCTCTGTATATCCGCCTTTCCAATAAAAAAATAATAAAAATAAATCTTTAAAAAATGTTCTTTTATCTATTTGAAAGGTAGAGAGACAGAGAAACAGAAAAATAGAGAGAGTGGTCTACGCAAGTTAAGCCATCACCTGCAGCGCCAGCTTCTCAAATGATGGCTAGCTTGTGTCCAGCCGCTCTACTTCCCATCTAGCTCCTGCCAATGCACCTGTGAGCGCAGCAGAAAATGGCCCAAGTGTTTGGGATCCTGATCTGGGAGACCCAAATGGAGCTCCTGACTCCTGGCTTCAGCCCAGCCACCCCAGCTGTTGTGGCTACTGGGGATGTAAACCAGCAGATGGAAGATCTCGCTATTATTTTTTTCTTAACAATTCATTTATTTTTATTGGGGAGACAGATTTAGAGAAAGAGAGAGAAAGAAAGAGCTTTCATCTACTCATTCACTCCCCAAATGAACACAAACAGCCAGAGCTGAGCCAATCTTAAGCCAGGAATTTCCTCCAGGTCTCATACATGGGTGCAGGGTACTAAGGGATTGCACTGTCTTCTGCTGCTTTCCCAGACCGCAAGCAGCGAATCAGACTGGAAGGGGAGCAGCCAAGACATGAACCAATGACCATAGGGATGCGGTGGTTGGAAGCAGAAGATTAGTCAGTTCATCCAATGTACCAGCTCCTTATTTAGTCTCTCAAATAAACAAAATTAATCTTTAGAGGAAAAAAAACGAAGAGATGGCTCTTCTAGCTGTCGGTTCACTCCCTGTAACAGCCAAGGACAGGCTAGGCCAAAGCCACCTGGGTCTCCCACCTGGTTGGCAGGGACTCAACCAGCTGAACCATCACTTGCTTCTGCCTGGGGAATACAATAGCAGAAGGCTGGCTGTGTGGTGGTGCCTATGGCGGGCCAACCTGTTATAAGCAAACTGGACACAGTACTAGTCACAAAGGCAAATTTTAGAAGCTACCCACCCCTTTCTCCCCAGAAAGCCACTTTCTGAAGCAGACCTCATCAGCCAGGTCCTTATCTTGCTTTGACTAGTGCCTAGCCTTAAAGGCCAAGAGCTTCCTCTTTGCTACACAGCCCAGCCCACTTCCCTTTCCATTACTCTCTCAAGATCTTGTCTCCCTCTACCACCCATCCCCCCGCCCCGCAACAAGTTTGTCCTTACCTGGATGTTCCTCTTGATGATGTCCCTGGTCAGCTGTACCTTGCCCGTGCTGGGGTCCACCCCAGCCAATGGCACCATGACCTCCCCAATGACATCATCCCGGGAGAAGCGGTCAAAGCTGAGGACGAGGAAGTGCAGTACCAGGTCCTGCAGCTGGCTGTAGGGGATGCCGTAGAAGGTGAAGGTCTCATCAAACACGGGGTCCAGGGTCTTGCGCAGCACTCTGGTCTTCACCCGGTGCCGTTTGTCAGGCAGGATGGTCATTTTGATGTAGGGGTCAGAGCCCTGGGTCTGGTCATCCATCACTGGCAGTCCATGGGCTTCCTGGATTGTTACCACCAGGGCTTTTTTCGGGAAGTTGTAGTCCACTGAGAAGGTGAGGGACCCTAGTGTGACATCCTCCTCTGGAGATGACGGAGATGTGGTTTTGCTCTCCCCAGGGGTCAGGCTTGTAAGGGGACTTCTCAGTTCTTCCCCATAGTCTGTTTTGATAGGTAAGTGGTCTATACAAGAGGCAGAGCTGGGCCCACTGGGACCCTCGGCTCTACCTAGCAGGCCGGCCTCTGCCGCATCCACCAACAGATTCCCACGGCCACCTTCCCTTCCAGGGCCATCTTTTTCTCTTCGCACTTTGATGATTTTCTTCTTGTTGCTGAGGGTCTCAGGGTATATGCTGATGCCTTTGAGCATGTGAATGAACTTGTACGGTGGGTTCTTGTGCTTCTTCTCTGCCTGTTGGTGGCAGCACGTCCAGACAAAGACAGTCACTGAAACACACACCACCAGCACAGAGGCCCCAATGAGGCCAGCCACCACCGGTGACACATCTGAGGGCAGAGATCAGAAATGTGTCAGGCAGGTACACCCACCCCGTCTCAGGCTCTCCTGCTCACTGCCTCTTTTGGAGTCAAGCTGATGTGCAGTGAAACCCTCCCAAGCAAAACACACTCACCTGGGCTTTATTGCTCCTACTTTCTGCAGATGTCCCTCCCCTGACCCCCAGCCCCTCTGCCATCCTGCCTGACCAATCTATGGCTTTTCTTCCCTGCCAGGTCTGGTTGAAACATTCATGTTTCATAACTCCATAAACTCAGCTCTGAGGCAAGCATTGAAGTGTTATGGGTTAAGCCAGTGTTTGTAACACCAGCATCCTATATGGGCACCAGTTCTAGTTCAGGCCATTTCACTTCCCATCCAACTCTCTGCTAATGCACTGGAGGATGGCCCAAGTGCTCAGGTCCCTGAACCTACATGGGAGACCCTGAAGGAGCTGCTGGTTCCTGGCTTCAGACTGGCCTAGTCCCACACATTATGGCTATTTGGGGGAGTGAACCAGCAGATTGAAAATCTCTGTAGCTCTGCTTTTCAAACACACAAAATAAATCTTCAAAGAAAAATCCCTGTTATTTGTTTAAAAATATTTTTAAGAACTTATTTATTCTTTAATTGAAAGCCAGACTTACAGAAACATGGAAACAGAAAAAGATTTTCCATTTGCTGGTTCTCTCCCTAAATGGCTACAACAGGGCCCAGCATGGTAGCCTAGCAGCTAAAGTCCCTGCCTTGCACGCAATGAGATTCCATATGGGCAGGGGTACATATCCCAGGAAACCCGTTTCCCATCCAGCTCCCTGCTTGTGGCCTGGGAAAGCAGTCGAAGACAGCCCAAACCCTTGGGACTCTGCACCCACATGGAGACCCAAAAGAAGCTCTTGTGCTTCTGGTTTCGGATCAGCTCAGCTCTAGCAGTTGCGGTCACTTGGGGAGTAAATCAGCAGACTGAAGATCTTCCTCTCTGTTTCTGCTTCTCTCTGTATATCTGACTTTCCAATAAAAATAAATAAAATCTTTAAAAATTAAATTTAAAAATATGGCTACAAGCCAAGAATTGGTAGCTTCCTCTAGGTTTCCATGGTGATGTAGAGTCCCAAGAACTTGGACCATCCTCTGCTGTCTTACCAGGCCATAAGCAGGAAGCTAGATCAGAAGTGGAACTTCTGGGACTTTTATATTGTTATAAACATCAAAAACAAAATTTCTGATGATGTTTACAGAGTTGAAAAGGATGCATGTCCAAGTGGACTGATTAGGTTAGGAAGAGCTGAGGAATAGGGGAAAGTAGATGAGGCAGAAATGAGGCAGAAATGACCTGGAGTTCTCTCTAAATGGTAGCAACATGATGGTTAAGGGTGGCAAAGTGGATTGGTGTTGAAAAAGAACTCAATCCCAGGGAGATGAAACTTTGGAAAATATTAAATTTTTCTTTTTTTTTTAAAGATTTATTTATTTTATTACAAAGTCAGATATACAGGAGGAGAGACAGAGAGGAAGATCTTCCGTCCGATGATTCACTCCCCAAGTGAGCGCAACGGCCGATGCTATGCCGATCCGAAGCCAGGAGCCAGGAACTTCTTCTGGGTATCCCACACACGGGTGCAGGGTCCCAAGGCTTTGGGCCATCCTTGACTGCTTTCCCGGGCCACAAGCAGGGAGCTGGATGGGAAGTGGAGCTGCCGGGATTAGAACCGGCGCCCATATGGGATCCCAGGGCGTGTTCAAGGCGAGGACTTTAGCCACTAGGCCATGCTGCCGGGCCCATAAATTTTTCTCTTTTAAAAGATTTGTTTTCATATTTGAAATATGAAAGAAAGAGAAGAAAGAGAAAGAAATCTTGGATTCATTGGTTTACTTCCCCAAATGTCTGTAACAGTCAGAGCTGGGCAAGGGTGAAGCTAAAAGTACGGGGTTTCATACAGGTTCCACATATGCATTACAGGAGCCTAAGCACTTTAGCCATCTTCCACTCTCCTCCCAGGCACAGTAACAGGGAGCTATTGGAAGTAGGACAGCTTGGATTTGAACCAACATACATATGGGATGAAGGCACTGCAGGCAATGCTGGCCCTGGAACATAGTTTTTAAAGTACATAGTCTTTTAATATATAAGTGTACTTACAGTAATTATATGTTACATTTCTACTTATTTTTCTGAGAGACAGAGAGCAAGCTTCCCAATCCAGGTCTCCAATGGAGGACAAGAATTGAATTACTTGCGCCATCTCTGCTGCCTTTCAGGGTCTACATTAGCAGGCAGATGGAACGAGGAGCCAGAGATGGGTACTGAACCCAAGATCTCTGATATGGGATATGAGCTTCTTAACCAGGAGGACAAACAACTACTCCTTAAGGTAAATTTCAGGGGTCAGTGCTGTGGCATAAAGGGTAAAGCTGCCACTTGCAGGGCCAGCATTCCATACCATGCCGGTTTGACTTTCAGTTGTCCACTGGCAAGTCAGCTCCTTGATAATGCACAGGGAAAGTACTAGAAGATAGCCTTTCCTTGAGCCCCTGCACTCATTTGGGAGATTCAAAAAAGCTTGTGGCTTCTGGTTTGGGATCAGCCCAGCTTCGGCTGTTGCATCTGGGGAATGAACCAGTGGACAGAAGATCTGTTTCTCCCTTTTTTTCACACTATGTAACCCTGCCCTTCAGATAAAATAAGTAAATCTTAAAGAGGGAGAGATAAGTACTTCATAAAGCATAAAATATCAACTATAGACAATTTTTGATCTTTGCTTAAATATCATCTTCTTGTTAAGGCCTCCCTGATGACCCTATTTAAACTGCAATCTCCTAGGCCCGGTGTGACAGCTTAATGGCTAAATCCTCACCTTGTAAGTCCTAGGATCCCATTTGGGCACCAGTTTGAGTCCTGGCTGCTTCACTTCCCATCTCCGCTTGTGGCCTGGGAAAGCAGAAAAGGAAGGCCCAAAGCCTTGGGATCCTGCACTGCATGGGAGACCCAAAAGAAGCTCCTGGCTCTTGGCTTCAGATCTGCTTAGCACTGGCCATTGTGGCCACTTGGGGAGTGAACCAGCAGACAGAAGATCTTTTCTCATATCTTCTCTATATCTGGCTTTCCAATAAAAACAAATCTTTAAAAAAAAAAAAAAGTTAAATCTTTCCTGTCCTTGATACCCACAGTTCTCAGCTCTGCTTAATTGTTTTTTTTTTTTTTAGATTTATTTATTTTTATTGGAAAGGCAGATATGATGGAGAGGAGGAGAGACAGAGAGGAAGATCTTCTGACCGATGAGTCACTCCCCAAATGACTGCAACAGCTGGTACTGCACTGATCTGAAGCCAGGAGCCACGAACTTCCTCCAGGTCTCCCCAGTGGGTACAGGGTCTCAAGGCTTTGGGCCGTCCTCCACTGCCCTCCCAGGGCACAAGCAGGGAGCTGGATGGGAAGTGGAGCTGCCAGGAATAGAACCGGCACCCATATGTGATCCTGGCACATTCAAGGTGAGGACTTTAGTCACTAGGCCATTGTGCCAAGACATGTGCTTAATTATGTTTTTTGTTAGTTTGTATGTTTTTGTTTTGTTTTTCAAAGACATCTCTGTGGGAATTTCTTATTTTTATTGGAAAGTCTGATTTAAAGAAAGAAGGAGAGACAGAGAGAAAGATCCTCCACCTGCTGGCTCACTCTTTAAGTGGCTGCAATGCTGGAGCTAAGGCAATCCAAAGCCAGGAGCCAGGAGCTTCCTCAGGATCTCCCATGTGGGTGCAGGGATCAAAGGCCTTGGGTCATCCTCTGTTGCTTTCCCAGGCCATAAGCAGGGAGCCTACTGGGAAGTAGAGCAGCTAGGACCCAAACTGGCACACATATGGGATCCTGGCGCACGCAAGCTAGGCCCTGCTTAATTGTTTTTCAAACATCTTGTTATCATTTCTCTCACACATACATACACACTGGAAGGAAAAAAACATATACCATACATGCACTTATAAAGGAATAAATACATCTATCCGCATATCCGATATGCATTTACTACTATTTTCCTTCACAAAAACGTGAGACTGCGGAGCACAGTCATTTTTTGTGCTTTGTTCACTGCTGTTGTCCAGCAGTTAAAACAAAGAGCAGGCATTTCATGCATGTTTTTTGGATGAATAAGTAAGAACTGAACAGATTTTGTTTTCTCTTCCATTCCCCTATGCTCTTTCATTCCGTCTCCCACAAATGTGGGACCACTGTCTTAGCCAATTAGGCTCTGGCTTCATCCCCCTCAAGTTCATTGAAATTAAACTGGGTTCACATCTGCAAGGACTAAGTGAGACCTATGTTTTTCACCGTAATGTTTAGGGAGAGATTGGAAGGCGATGTGATTCAAGCATATTGCATATTCTTCCTGGAATACCAGCCATCTACACTGTATCTACACTTCTTATTGCCTCCTTTATTGTTGGCCTTATCAAAAAAGCATTTCCTGTCTGCCCAAGTGAGATAATGATAATATTCCATCGCCTGTCTTCATTTTTCTTCATAGTGCCCATTATCCTGACAGACATTTGCCTGTCTTCCCTCACTAGATAGGCTTAAAAAGAACAGTGACCTTGTCTGTTTTGGCTATTGTTACATCCCGGGTCCAGAAACCCTGTGGTACATAGTAAGTGCTTAGGTGAAAAAAATCCACAGATCAGAAAAAGATGACGATAACACAATGACAGGCATCAGAGATGATTGTTAATTTCCATTTGGCTTCAAGAACCCAGCTGTCTGTAATGACCTCACCTGGTAAGATTGAGTAAAAACGATCTGATAGCTTAGATCATCACAGCCTTGGAGGCACAATCAGGTTAGTGGCAACTTAACCTGTGCTGGTAATAACACCACACTGAAGGAGCACTCTGCACAGCACTGACAGTAATAACAACTGCCAATTTCTTGGTAGTTGTTTTTATTGGGTTTTTCCAGGTATTGTGCTAGAGCGTTCTCTGAATAGGTGCCCTTCATATCCCTGCTTCAGCACTGAGGAACCTGGAAGCTCAGAAATCCACACCAGGAAGCAGGAGGGATGGGACTGAAATTCTGGATTGCTCAGTGCACTGTCTGTTCCTCCAGAAGAGGGATGGGCAATGGAGACAAAAACCTCAAGACCACAGCACCTGAGGGGGACACTTAAGGAACTAGAATTGGGAGGGGTTAAGGAAGAATAATAATCTGCAGCTGTCATTGTTCGAGCGCGTTGATGAAAGAGGTCTAGTGAGTGTTGCTTTGGAGAGTAGAACCAGTACCATCCAGCACAGGTGCCAGAAAGGCAGTTTCTGACTCAACAAAAAGCCTGATTATTATTAGAACTGCTGCACCAAGGGCCCCGATTGCTTCACGATGCAGTAATTCTGCAGCCAAAATCTTCCAAACACAAGTTGGGTCATCTAGGGGCAGGCATAGTCTAGGAGGGATTTCTGCAGGGAACGTTGGACCGGATGTCTCAGGCTCTTTTTATTTCATGGCTCTATGGACAATTTGGATCATTGACGAAGTGGCCATGTCCATTTATTTGATCGCAAAGTGTTCGATGAAGTAAGGCATTTGAAGGAGGTGCCATAGTGAAGAGGCAGCACTGATGATGAGCTCCTGGAGGGCACCCGGGATTTACATCTTGGTCCTCTGTGACTCCCTCAGAGCTGCAGGGGTACTGGAGGAACTGACTGGATTCATCTTCCAGTCAGAATCGGCAGAATGCGGGAGGTGGCTCTCTCACCATTTAGGAGCTCTCTTGTTGATGGCTTGCCACTGCTCAGTGGAACTGAACGTTAATTGTCAATATAAGCAGATAACAGGCAGAGCAAGCCAGTCAGTACATTTCTTAGATAATGACTTGAAAGGGAGTTTGGAAGGCCCTGGGTGGGAGGCGTCAGGATGCTCCTTTGGGTTCTCACATGGATTTGTGATCTTGAGGAAACCCTTTGCTGCCTACAGTGCATTACTGTGCTTTTACTGCTGCAAGTGGGGGAAGGGTGGAAATGAGAAGAGCAATGGTTTTCAACTTTTAGGAGGACCCTGCGGCAAATGGATGCATCCATTTATGCATTATCTAGATGCTCTCTCTCGTCTTATCTCGCACGTTCATCTGATTTCGTTCTCATTTGAGGGTTAACTCTTGCCTTTCTCCCCTCTCTCCCCAACAGCCAGAGAGGTAACTGAGAAAATCTTTACATTCAGAGCCTTCTGTCTTGCTTCATTTAACAGATTGGTGGGAAAAGGAAGCTGGAACGAATGGCTGAAATGAGCATTCTAAAGTAGCTGTAAAGTATGGTGACTTGTGTTGCCTGTTCCCTTTGTCTCCCAAGGTCATGGATAATTGAGTGTTGGCTCATGTATCCCCAAGTGTGGCAGCATTTGAAATCAAGCATTGGGTGAGATGCGAAGTGGTAGTTCTGTTAGCAGGAGTCTGTAATAGTGATGTCCGGCTCTTTCGGTCTTGATCAGATCTGCTTTTAGACACCTGCTTTCCTAAACATAGCATTTTCCTAAACATAGCCAGGTATGCCAGTAGAGTACAGGGGAACCTGAGGAATGGGGAACCATTGGCATCAGCCAGATAAGGTCCATTCCAAGTTTAACTTTAACCAAGTTAACTCTCTTTGCTTTGGGTTCTGCAGTCTCATGAACACACAACATTTATTAGGATCATTAAAGAAACTCTAGTGTGATACCATTTATTATCCCCTGTTAATCCCTCTACTATAAATCTCTATCTTATGTTCTGCCCTGTCTATATTCCTAAGGACTCAAACTGCCATCAGAGAAAGGAATGCATAGGTAGGCAGATAGAAGAGGAAAAAGAGCAGAAGAAAATCACGGATTGTTCAGGTGCTCCCCAAAGAGAATTGTATTTTTGCAAACTTGGACTGAAATGCCAGGGCTGCAGAGGTGAAGCAGAGTTAGCCTTGGGGAAGCGGGGGAGGCACCAAGTTAGTGGGTGTGAAGGCTGAGGCTTCCTCAGACCCAGCAGACAGAGCACTTGGCTTGTGCTCATTCCCATAGCCCTTCCTTGGGAGTGAAAACAACATTTCCTGGTTGGATGATGTCTCCACCCTAAACACTGAAATCCAGATGCTCAAACCTCCTGGATGTGTGAGTGATAGGATCTCTGAAGGCCAAGGGAGGCTCGATGTAAGCTGTGGTCAGACTGCAGGAGACACTGGGAAGTAGGTTTTGTTTATTTGTGCGGGGCAGTCCAGCACACAGCATGTGTCCTAACAGTTTGGAGGACTCCCTCAGGGATGGAAAAGCTTGCTCCTCAGCGTGCCGTTCCCACCCTGTCGTGTATTTTCCACTCCACACTGTGCCCCAGGGAGTGTGGAGCAGCTGCTGGGGCCCACAGGGCTGGGTTGGGGAGCAGTGGCTCCGAGATGACGTAATGGTTTCTCTGGTACACAAAGCGGCCTCCCCGGGGCTGGGCCTCCAGCCCCTCCCCCTGCGGCCCGGCTCCCGCCCCGCCGCCAGCAGCCAGGGTGAGTTCCCGGTTTTGAAAAAAGCCGGCCCCGGGAAGCTGGGAACAAAGGCCCCGGAAGGAGAACCTAGGCGCTGCCAGGAGGCCCAGGAATAGACATCACGTCATCCCCCAGTCCCGCCGCGCCAAGCGCCATTTGGAAGCCTGAGACCGACCCCACCATTACGGTGCAGGATGGGGCTGGATAGACTGGCGTGCCGCTGACCAGCTTCAGGAGTGGCTTCCACTTCACTGACCATCCCCGCAGGCCTGTTTCCCCAGGGGCTGCCTCCTGCCCTGGCCGCCAGCCACACAGCCCACAGCGTCCAAGCTGCCATCTTGCTGTCCCATCCCCCTCGCCAGTTCCCTCCCCCGCAGGCCTTGGGAGAGGGAGGGGAGGAAGGGGCACCGCCCTGCACGCCCCGAGGGGGAGGGCTCGGCCTCTTGCACCTCTCCTCCCCTAGAAGGAGGGGGTCACGTCCTCCGCACGCTGGCCGCTTCTCACCTCCAGCAGTGCTGACAGTGCACCACGCAAGGCTTTGGCATCCCGCACTGCCTCCCCTCGGGGTGGCTGTGGCCTTGCCAGCCTCTGCCACTCATAGCACAAGTTCAGGCGTGATGCACGGCCCGCTCCTCACCGCCATGGACCGGCTTGGAGCAGGCTGGCACCCTAAGTCTCCGATCCAGGTTGGTTGCCTTTCCTGCGCAGCCGCTAGGCCCCACTGGCTTTGCCATGGTTCCAAACAGCTGCAGCCCAGTTTGCCCGGCTCCACTTACCAAAGCTAGGTCGGATATTGGTGATCTCAGCCATGTCGTAGTCAGAGGTTGCTGCTAGAAAAGCTTCTGCAATGGCCAGACCCTGGGAGTCGTCGGTCAGCACCGAGGCCGCCTCCGTAGAGCTGTGGGGTCGGGGGATGGGGAAGGTTATGTGGCAGCCGCCTGCTGCGACGGTCCAGTCCGGGTGGCCAGCAGCGCTTGCCTCTCCAGATGCTCCAGGGATGCTCTGAGCTAAGGATGCAGGTGCAGTCGGACTGGTCCTGATGCGAGGTAGGCTCCGCCCTCTCCCGAACGGCCCTCGGCAGAAGACTCCGCCTCTGGCCGAAAGGCTCCGGAAGGCAGGCCCCGCCCCCTTCCGGACGCCTTCTGGGAGAAGCTCCGCCCCCGCCGAGTGTGCGGAGCGTGAGGCCCCGCCCACTGGCGGCCGGCCTGTCTCCAGGGAGACTGTGAAGCGGGCAAGGGAGTGGTGTAGGTTAGTCAAATGAGTCCATGATGTTGTGCTTAAATTGGTGTTAATTTAGTCGCAGAATGTGCTGGGTTCAAGAGCACTGGAGGGGCCGACGCGGTGGTTTAAGGATAATCCTCCCCCTGAAAGCGCCAGTGTCCCATATGGGTGCCGGTTCGTGTCCCGGCTGCTCCAATTCTCATCCAGTTCTCTGCTTGTGGCCCGGGAACACAGTGGAGGGCTCCTGCGATCACGTGGGAGACCTGGAAGAAGCTCCTGGCTCCTGGGTTCAGATAAGCTCAGCTCTGGCCATTGCGACCACTTGGGGAGTTAACCAGCAGATGGAAGATCTTCCTCTCTGTCACTCCTCCTCTCTATATCTGCCTTTCCAGTAAAAAATAAATCTTAAAAAAAAACACAGAGCACAAAACTTTCAATGATATTTTGTTTTTAATCTATTTCTCCTGTGTATTTTGCAGTCTATTTAGAAAACTGGTCCAATTTTACTGCTTGACCTCTGTGGTGGTTGGTGTGTATAAAATAAATTTGATGCCTTTTCAGAACCCTGAGAATTAGTAAATTACATTCAGAATATTACTAGAAGGAAACTAATGTTGCTGAACAGGTACATTTTTAAATTTTATATTTATTTTAGATAACAGTGTCACTAATGCCTTGAAAATGGTAGCTTGCCTTTTTTATTTTTTTGCCTTTAGTGTCAGTTGGTTGACTGTCATGGGATTGGGAGAATAGTGGGTGTGAGGGAGAGAGAAACAGAGAGAGAGAAGGTAGGAAGGAGGGAGAGAGAATCCAAAGATCTGTGTGTTTCCTAAGGAAAAAAAATTGGGCCTGGCGCAGTGGCCTAGCGGCTAAAGTCCTCACCTTGAACACGCCAGGATCCCATATGGGCGCCAGTTCTAATCCCGGCAGCTCCACTTCCCATCCAGTTCCCTGCTTGTGGCCTGGGAAAGCAGTTGAGGACAGCCCAAAGCTATGGGACCCTGCACCTGAGCGGGAGACCCAGAATAAGTTCCTGGCTCCTGGCTTCGGACTGGCATAGCATCGGCTGTTGTGCTCACTTGGGGAGTGAATCATTGGACGAAGGATCTTCCTCTCTGTCTCTCCTCTTCTCTGTATATCTGACTTTCCAATAAATAAATAAATCTTTAAAAAAAAAACTGCCTTGTAATGCAACTCTGTGCTTCCTGAAATTTCTGTGAAATTGAAAGAGTTGGTGTTGTGCTTGCATGGTAAGCTAGTGGCTAAAGTCCTCGCATTGCATGCACTGGGGTTCCATATACAGCACCTGTTCAAGTGCCAGCTGTTCTACTTCCCATCCAGCTCCCTGCTGGTGGCCTGGGAAAGCAGTGGAGGACGGCCCAAAGCTTGAGACCCTGTATTGTGGAACAAGCTCCGTTAACTCCTGGCTTTGAGTCAGCTTAACTCTGACTACTGCTGCCACTTTAGGAGTGAATCAGTGTACGCAGGATCTTTCTGTCTCTCTAAATCTGACTTTCCAAAGAAAATAGTTGTTTTTTTTTTTTTTTAAAGTGAGAATTGGTATGTTTCAAAGGACAGTTACAAAGCTGGTGATTGCAGTCAGGATTATATAATTTCATCCTTCAGTTTGGCTGATTCTGCCTGATTCTGGTTCCTGATAAGATTCATTTATAAGCAAAGACACTTTTTGCTGGTTCACCTACAAAATGAAGGAATTGAATGTAGTTTTCTTTTTAAGGATTTGTCCATTTTTATTGGGTAGGCAGAGAGCAAGATCTTCCACGTTCTTTTTTTTTTTTAAGTTTTTTTTTAAGATTTATTTTTATTATTTGTTTTTTGGAAAGGCGGATATACAGAGAGGAGAGACAGAGAGGAAGATCTTCCGTCCGATGATTCACTCCCCAAGTGAGCTCAACGGCCAATGCTATGCCGATCTGAAGCCAGGAGCCTCTTCTGGGTCTCCCACGCGGGTGCAGGGTCCCAAAGCTTTGGGCTGTCCTCAACTGCTTTCCCGGGCCACAGGCAGGGAGCTGGAAGGGAAGCGGGGCTGCCGGGATAGAACCGGCGCCCATATGGGATCCCGGGCGTGCAAGGCAAGGACTTAACCACTTGTGCCACCGCGCCGGGCCCCCACATTCTTTTTAACATTTTATTTTGTTTTATGATATAGTTCCACAGGTTCTGGGGTTGCCCGTGCCTTTTCCCAAAGTCCCTCCACCTCTGCATTGATTTCCCCTCTAGGTTTTTTCTTTTTTAAGATTTATTTTTATTATTAGTTTTTTTTTTTTTTTATTGGAAAGGTGGATATACAGAGAGGAGAGACAGAGAGGAAGATCCTCCGTCCGATGATTCACTCTCCAAGTGAGCACAACAGCCGATGCTATGCCGATCCGAAGCCAGGAGCCTTTTCCGGGTCTCCCACGCGGGAGCAGGGTCCCAAAGCTTTGGGCCATCCTCGACTACTTTCCTGGGCCACAGGCAGGGAGCTGGAAGGGAAGCAGGGCTGCCGGGATAGAACGGGCACCTATATGGGATCCCGGGCATGCAAGGTGAGGACCTTAACCACTGCGCCACCGTGCCGGGCCCCCCTCTAGGTTTTTTTAAAATTCATTATATTTTGGACAATCTTCACATAGTTAATTAGGGTAAAAAGGTTCAAGGGCTATAAGGAAAGTGGGTAAGACTATTATTTCCATATTGTTTCCTTCATATATCTGAGGTAAAGGGAATAATGAGGGAGAAGTCCCACCCAATCTCCCACCCACCCAAGTCCCTTCTGTGGAGCATGCTCTGAGATACTTGCTCAAGAGGTTTTGATAGTTCACCAGTTATGAATCACTGCCGATCTTGCCACTCCAAGCATGATGAGGTCGTTGAAGAATCCACTGAGTGACACAGTCCGTCATAGAGTCTCCATTTGTCCTGTATTTTGCTGCCAACATATAGCTGAGGTGGTTGATTGACTTGTTCCGTCTTCCATCTTTTCTTGGTTAGGGTTCTGAGCCCACCATTTTGATTGGGGAGATCCCCAAAGAAACTTTGAGGTGTTCCCAGACCAGATTCTTGTATGTACTAGCAAGTACAAGGCCTGCCACAGTCCATCTCCCCAATCAGCTGGCGGTTGCAATTGCTGGGTTGGTTCTGTTTTCAGTCCTGACTTCCACTGGAACCAATGGGTGTTGCAGTCCAGCCTAGTTCTGCCCAGCACATACTCAGCTCTCACATAAACAAGTGGGAGCTGCAGCCCAATCAGAGCGACATACAATAACCCCCACCAGGCCTCCCTATCCTGGTTTGCCAGTATATGTAGCAGACTAGTCCAGTCTGTCCCATATCCCATTTGACTCTCATACTTGTTGATGGGTATTGAAGCTTAGTTCCATCTAACCAGCTCAACTATCCAGCTCTCACGGATGTTGCTGAGTGCCTCTCTGTCTAGCCATCCCAGCCCCTGTCCTAGTTTTTGTGCCCTCCCGTGGGAGTGGTAACCCAAGAGGGAGGAGCCCACTATTTCCCTCCCAGGTCTCTCTCACTCCTGGATTATGCACTCTCCAGGTGGTTCTGTCATTTTCCCTCTAGTTTTACAAGAGATGTCCTTCATGAACAGTCACAATTGCATCGTGTTGCTGCTGAAGTGTTTCCCAATAATGTTGGCATGGACATTGTCAGGGAGTTCATCATCTTACTGTTAGGATAGTTTCAATTCTTTCACTGGGAGTCCATCTCTGCTTTGTCTGCATTAAGTGGCCACAACGGCTGTAGTTGAACCAATACAAAGCTATAAGCCAGCAACTTCTGCCTGGTTTCCCACCCAAGGCTTTGGGTCTTCTTCTACTGCTTTCCCAGGTCACAAACAGGGAGCTGGATGAGAAGTGGCGGAATTAGGACATGAACCAGTGCCCATATGGGATAACTGTGCTTCTAGAGGGGATAATCAAACCATTGTACAGCACCCAAATGTAGTTTGATGTTGTTTCTATTGTTGCGGGGTCAAGTGGGATCACACCAAGCAAGTTTAAGGTTTATTAAGGAGTCATTATTAACCAAGCTTGGTGATAACAGGCCCACTAGAAATAGCAAATCATCCAAACTGGATGCTTCCAAATAATCTCTATTCTCTAGTAGAACTCATCATGTGCTTATGAAGTATATGATGGCACCATTATTCCCAAGAGACTTCTGGGTTTCCTTTTTGTCATGCATGTGTTGGCTATTCAGTGGTGTTACTTTTTTTCAGGGTGATATACTTTGTTGTCGATGTTGTTGGTGTTGTTGTTGATGTGGTTGTTATGAAGTGATGTCAATCTGAAACAGTAATATTATTTCAACCCCAAACAGCCTGTATCTCATGCAATAAGATATTGTGAAGTAATCAATGAATCAATAATCGATAGGAGTCAGACTGCTTCTGATCTACATCAAAGAATTGTAAAATTGTAAGGCTCTATGCTACTCGGAAAGGGGGAGGGAGAGCAGAGAAATCTTACATCACCCAAGAAGGTGAGGAAGACGGGAAGTATAACCTATCAGGATCATAACTGGTAACTCATAGGCAACAGACTCAAATCAGCATTAGACAATAGCAAAGCTATGAAGGCATATGGGGGGAATCAGGAGCAATCCCAACAACCTCTTAATAGGAGGTCATATGCACAGAGCGGGGGGGGGACCCCAGAGTGGAGCAGGCAGACAGGAGAAGCTTGTATCCCAACTCTGAAGACTCCTAGATCCTCACCAAGGACTATCAGTACGAGCTCCGAGGACTACATCCCAATCGCCAAGGAGACCACGGGGAATTGGAGTGCCTTCGGAGGCCGAGAACTCTGAGGTCACCCATTTCCATTTGGGTCTCACACATGGGAGGGAAGAAGCGCATACCCCGCCTTGCAGGATCCAAGGTCATCGGAACGACAACCAGGAGCACTGAGCGGTCCGCAGAAACAGAATAGTAAACTTCCTTCAGGACTAGGGAGAGGAGCTTTCTCTGGTTCTTGCCTGGTTCTAATTTTGGGTCCCCACTCTCTCTCATAATGACCATCAGGATTGCTCCAGAAACCCCTCAAAATAAAGTAACAAATAAACAAATAAACAAACAAAAAAACCCCCTAGAATAGATGGAGAACAGCGAGGAAAGCTTAGAAACAGGAAATGGGCAGGGGGGATGCACTTATAACTCACTGGGTGGGACACAAAGATTGGTTGCTCCTCACTAGGGTATGGAGGATTTCTCTGCACACCCCTCCTAAAACCGTTCACCTAAACTGTTAACATATGTCTTGTTACAGTTATAGAGCTAGACTACCTGAAAAACAGTCAGGTTCTGCAAAATCAGGCTTCAACACTATGAACTGCTAAATACTAAAATTAAAATAGACATGAGACAGCTGAATAGTAATCTATAGCCATTTTAAGGTGTATAGAACCCAGCTGTATATAAACTAATAATTGTAATGTCAATGCAGAAGTCATAGGATGTGGTTCAGAACTTGCACTCTTTTTGTTGTTGTTGTTTTCTCTCTCTCTCTTTGAACATGCTGGTTACACAATATCATTTCAACTAATTCTGGTACGTTATAAATTGTTACTGATGCAATGTCGGGGCTTTCAATGGATTGGGATGATACTCTTTTGGCTGTACCTTCAGACCAGAAAATGTCTCCCCATGAAACTGATGAACTTATCTGCACAATAAGATGCTGGACTCTATGTTTTGTAGATGCTTGCAAGGGAAAAAAATCTCAACTGAATTTGATCTGTGGTAATGAAACAAGATGGAAGAATCCACCATGGGGGGGGCAGCGGGTTTTGGGGAGGGGAGGGGGGAATTCAAGTGCCTGTAAAACTGTGTCTCATGATGCAATGTAATTAAAAAAAAAAAAAAGATTTCACAATACAGACTTAGAAGCACAGGGAAAAAAAAAAAAAAAGAAATAGCAAATCAGAAGTGCATGTAGCAATCCAGTTAATAGAACCCCCAAGAGGAACAAATGCTTATTACCCTGAAGTCCATCCGTTAAGCCGAAGACCTATGTCCCAGCTTCCCCAGTAATATAAGTTAGCCTAAGAGGCATGCAACGGATAACCTGGACACACTTACGAAGCTGCAGACATTCACCTTTCCCTAGCTTCTCTGCCCACATTCTGCTATTGCTAGGCCTCACCTCTGCTGGAACTCTCAAAAGTATACACATTAGAAATACAAAGCATCTTAGCTTATCATAATCTTTATTTTCCTGCCCAAGCAGTGAACAGAGGGTGAGGAATACAGACATATACGGGTCATTTTTTCAGGCACTACCTCTCCTCAGTCTGTCTGTGGGAAGCCAGAGAACAAGCAGGTACTGGGAAGGCCAAGCTTTGAGAGTGCCAGAGTGTTGGAGGCACAGGACTAACAGAGAGAACACTCCACCCAGTATGAACTTTTATAGGGGCTTGTGAGGGGAGTGGTTGCACAACAATGCAATACCACCCCCTCCGAGGTTCCAGGTGATGACAGGCGAGCATCACAGATGGGCAGGAGGCAACACCTAGATGGTGGGGGGCGGGGAGGAGTAGCTTCCAAGCTTATGACCCTGAATTAGCTGCCTACCTCACTATACTGTAAATGTGAAAAACAGATTTGTTGATTTACTGACCACTGCCTGTGCACCAGGCACCTGGGTCAGGTGTTAGGAGCTAGAATCAGGACATTTGACAGGTGAGAAACTGATGGTTACCACGGTAACTGGAGGAGGGTGGAGATTGCTTCCAACCAAATCCAGAACGGACAGCAAAGTTCTGGAATGCCCCTCAGTCTGTGAAACCACTGTTGCATCAATGAGGCGCACAAAACCATATTCCTACACCAAATAGGGCCAAGGTGATCCCCATTTTGACTTCTGTCTCAAGAGGAGTTGAAAAGGCTCCTGCATGTCTCTTCGGTCTTTTGTTCCTCTGTAGCCTTCACACTTGTCTTTCTGCTGTACAGGGATGGAAAGCCTGTGACCGTGGTTCCCTGAAATAAAGGCTATCTAAATTCTTTTTATATATTGAGCTGAGTTATTCTTTCCCTGGTGATCAGCAAATCTAATAAGCACCTTCTGAAATCAAGTACCCAATGTTCCAGAACCATGTCCCGTGAAGCTGCACTGCAGTATGGTCATTGCCCTGTCTCATAGGGTTGACTGTGGACAGAAAGGCCCCTAATACAGTGGGAGAGGGTCTTATAAGATGCTGAGAATTATACGGATATGAGCCATTTTTATAGCTTGGGATCGAAACTGTCTTGTTTGTAAACAACAGCCTCCTGGTTCTGAAACGTTATGCATTCTTAGTTCTGTGTTCCAGGTGTCCGGCGGCAGTGAGACCCAAGGAAAGGATGCCTCCTGCGATAGTTTGCCAGTAAGTGACGTGCTTCCGCCGTGGCGTCATTCGGCCCTTAAGTAGGATGGCGCTTTGAGCTGGCGCCTGCGTGTGGACGGCCGGTGGCCGCGCTGGGCGAGTCGGGGGCGCGCCCGTCCCCGTCTGCCGTTGGCTGGCTTCCGGCGATGCGGAGAGCGGGTTTCCGCGGGACCAGGTGGGTGTGAGGGGGCGTCGGGGCTGCGCCGGGGGGCGCGGGGACAGCTGCGCGCAGGAGTGCGGGCTGTCGGGGGTGGGCGTGAGGGCAGTCGGGGCGCGAAGGTGGGAAGGTGTGTGTGGGCGGCGGCGTGTGTGTGGCCGGCGCAGCTAGAGGCCTTTGGGGATGTTTTGCAGGAGGGGCGTCTGCCTGGGGTTTGGGGTTCAGTCCGGCTGGTGGTCGGTGCCCGGTCCCCGAAGGGTGGGGGTCTCTAGGGCGGCTGCTGCGTTTTGGCGCCCGGAGCCTTTGCCCGCTCGCGGCGGACTGGACAGCAGGTCTGGGGTTCGCGTGCCAGATAGGGGGTTTGCTTAGGGTACTCGCCCTGCAGTGGGATCTTCACGTGTCCGTGGATCTTGAATTTGCAAGAGGCGGAAGGGGCTGGGGAGGAAATCCGCTAATGTCTGGGACACGTTGTAGGTACTACTTAGAAGTTTTTCGGTTGTCTATTCCAGGTGTCCCATGTTGTCTCCAGTGATGGAGAACTCAGAGCAGCCTGTGTTCTGGCCTGTCACGCATGTGAGTAAATTTTCCCTGCGTAGAAAGTTGCAGTGAGTTTTCATATGATGCCTAACCCTTGTTTCTTTTTTTAAAATTAATGTATATTTTTCTTTAATTTCACTTCATGTTATGACACAGTTTCATAGGCTCTGGGATTCCCCCAACCCCTCCCCATGTCCTTCCCCCATGGTGGATTCCTCCACCTTGTTGCAATATTACAGTTCAAATCCAGTCATGATTCTTTCATTGCAAGCATGTACCATGCCTAGAGTCTAGCATCTTTTTATTTTTTTTTTAAAGGTTTATTTATTTTCATTGGAAAGGCGGATATACAGACAAGAGGAGAGACAGAGAGGAAGATCTTCTGTCCAATGGTTCACTCCCCAAGCCGCTGCAACAGCTGAAGCTGAGCCAATCTGAAGCCAGAAGCCAGGAGCTCCTCCGAGTCTCCCACGCGGTGTAGGGCCCCAAGGCCTTGGGCCGTCCTCGACTGCTTTCCCAGGCCGCAAAGTGAGGCCTCCGCGACCAGATCCGGCGCCCATATGGGATCCTGGGCACTCAAGGCGAGGAGAGTCCAGCATCTTATTGTCCAGATAAATTCAACAGTTACTTAGGGAGACCATCTCTGGTCTGAAAGCAGAGCTGGCAGAATATCATCCCGTCCAGTGAAAAGCTACAACATAATATCAACAACAATTTACAACGTTATGGAGTTAATTGACATGGTATTGAGTCACTCATATGTTAGAAAATGCAAGTTCTTAACCACATCCTGTGACTACTTTACTGACATTTCAGTTTTAGTATATATACAACCAGCTGCTATACACCTTAAAATGGCTATACGGTACTATTCAGCTGTCTCGTGTCTATTTTCATTTTTATATTTAACAGTTTATAGTGTTGAAGTGTAATTTTTACTGAACTTGGCGAATTTTAGGATAGTTCAAACTGGCGTATAACTCTAACAAGGCATATGTCAACAGTTGAGGCGCAGAACAGTTTTAGGTGGGGTGTGCAGAGAAATCTTCAATAACTTAGTGAGGAGTAACTAATCTTTGTGTCCTACCTAGTAAGGTATATGTGAGTCCGAGCTGACTGTTTCTGGTTCTAAGCTTTCCTTATTGGTCTCTGTCTATCTAATCTAATTTTTTTTTTGGCGGGGGGAGGCTCGGTAGCGACCCTGATGGTCATTGCAAGAGAAGGTGGAACCGTAATCAACTAAGATTATTAAAATTAAAAAATAAAAAGATAGAGGGTGGGGATCCAAAGTTGGAACAAGGTAAGGACCAGAGAAAGCTGCTCTCCCAAGTCCCGAAGGAAGTTTACTGTTCTGTTTTTGAGGTCTGCTAAGAGCTCCCGGCTGTTGTTCCGATGACATTAGATCCAGTAAGGAAGGATCCGGGCATCTTCCTTCCCATGTGGGAGATCCGAAAGGGAGTGGATGACCTCAGAGTTCTTGGCCTGCAAGGGCAGTCCCATTCCCCCTGGTCTCCTTGGTAGTTAGGAGATAGACCTTGGTGCCCATACTGATAGTCCTTGGTGAGGATCAGGTAGTCTCCATGTTAACCCTTTGTTCCAGTCTGTCCAGGATAAGTTTTTTATTCAAGTCTTCTTTCATGTGTTCAGTTATTTAGGGAAGACTCATTCCTAATGACATACCAGGTTTCAGTAGTTAGTGACAAATCCAGTATGTCTAATACTTGGAAGCTGGTAGATACCAGTTGTAGGAATTGTTGTCCTTGCAGATCTCATGTTTTTGGAGCAGGGAAGAGGAGGGAGACAAAGAGGCAATGAGGCAGTCACAAAAATGAGAAGTCCTTTGAGAAGTTTAGGCATATCGCGAGAACACATCAGGAGAAATTCTCCTATTATTGCCAGCTTTTGTCCTCAAAATGGGATAAGTGGAATTAGGTTTAGGAGTCTGGAAGTAGCACAAGAGAGAGTATAATGTGGTTCTCTTGCTTTATAACTTCTGTTAATACAACCTTGATGAAAACAGTCACTCTTTGGTTTTATTCTAGCTTTGTGAACAGAAGCTGGTGTTTATTGACCATTTCTTGTCTACGGGTGGAGGTCCTGATTTTATGTCATAGCCAAGGAAATGAATTCAGACTAAATAGCTATGGTGCATCATAGTGGTGGAAAGAAGCTAATTGGGAAATAAATCCAGGCAATTTGTCTCAACAGTTTTTTTTTTTTTAACTTTTTTGTTTTGTAGGCCTGGCATTGTCGCACCGTAGATTAAGCCGGCACCTGCAATGTTACCAAAATATGAATATCAGTTTGAATCCCAGCTACTCTGCTTCTCATCCATTTCCTTGATGGTGTGCCTGGACAGACCTAGAGGATGGCCCAAATGTTTGGGACCCTGTCACCCATGTGGGCGACCTGGGTGAGTTCTGGGCTCATGGCTTTAGCCTGGCCCTGCTCCCACTGTTGAAGCCATTTCTAGAGTGAATCAACAAATGGCAGATTTCTGTGCATCTCTCCCTTGCTTGCTGCCACTTTGCCTTCCAAATAAATAATAAATCTTGGAAAAGGAAATTTGTATATTAGGAAGGCAGAGAGGGAAGAGGCGGAGTACTCTTGCGTCTGCTGGGTCACTCCCCAAGTGGCAGCACTAGGCAGATTTGGGTTACTCTGAAGTCAGGAACCTCGAGCTCTATTCTGTTTTCCCCACAGGGTTGGAAAGGCCCAAGTACTTGAATTATCATCCACTGCTTTCTCACTTGCGTCACCAGGGATTGTGATATGGGATGCCAGAGCTGCAAGTAGATGCTTAACCAGCTGCACCCTGTCTTCCTGATGTTCATAATAACTAATACTTACTAATTTCTATTTATTTGATAGAATGATTGTTGTTAAGTGAGAGGAATAATTGGTTTTGATAGTTGAAGGAACTGAAGCGTTGAGCTAAATCACTTGGCCAATGTAACCATAATGAGTGCTAGGTTTGGGGTTTGGACTCAGTCACTGCAGTCTCTCCCACCTCGGGGTAGAGGTATTAGTTGGTGTGATGTATTTATGATTCAGCAGGACTCAGCGAGTAGGTGAGCGAGCAGTGTTGTTCCCAGTAATCGGTAGGAATGCGGTAAGAACTTGTTTTTATTCTTTCAGGAGGGAGCAGAAGTGGGGCTTTGAACGTGTTGCCCTGTAGGAAGAGAAGAACCACGATGACAGAGTCCCCACAGCACCAGGGTGGCCAGAAGGAAGATGCCGTAGAGATGGTCCCAGTGACAGACTTGCAGTCTGTGTCGCTGTCCTGGGGTGCAGGCCATGACAGACTGCAGCAGCTCAGGCTGGTGGGGAGCAGCCATCTGGGAGCTGTGGGATGTTCAGCCAGGACACTGCCTTTGTGGGTCTGGAAGGTGTTGGTGTGGACCTGTCTCTGGGAGCCATCCTTCATTCCTTGGAGTCTTCCCCTGTCCTGAATGCACCCCTGGGCAAAGGAAAGTTCCAGAGCTCTGACTCAAGAGGAGGGAAGAAAATAGCCCTGAGTTCTGGGTCAGCTCCCCAGGAAGACCGAGGTGACCGACTCGGGCAGGAGGAGTCTTGTTCTGGAGAGTCTAATGAAGAAGGCCAGGAAGCAGGAGGTGAGCCCGGAAGGACCTGCTGGCCACTTGTCCTTAGGAATACACGTTCTTTTTTTATTTTTTTAAAGATTTATTTATTTTTATTACAAAGTCAGATATATAGAGAGTAGGAGAGACAGAGAAGAAGATCTTCGGTCCGATGATTCACTCCTCAAGTGGGCACTACAGCCGGTACTGCAGCAATCCGAAGCCGGGAACCAGGAACCTCTTCCGGGTCTCCCACACAGGTGCAGGGTCCCAAAGCCTTGGGCCGTCCTCTACTGCTTTCCCAGGCCACAAGCAGGGAGCTGGGTGAGAAGTGGAGCAGCTGGGATTAGAACCAGCGCCCATATTGGATCCTGGTGTGTTCAAGGCGAGGACTTTAGCCGCCAGGCCACGCCGCCGGGCCCAGGAATACATGTTCTTGTTGCCTTCTTCACAGAGCAGCATTTCTGTAAAGGGTCTGAGTTGGAATTGTACCTGTGGTGCTTGTAAGGGTCGGCAATAAACCTTCTCAGTGTGTTGAGACCTTCTGTTCCCTCCGGTCTCCTAGATCCTCTTGGCTATTCCTTTCCTTCTCTTACCGTTTCTACTGGCTCTCAGGAGAGAGGAACTGTGTGTGGGCTTCTGTGATCCATAGCTGTCCTAGTGTGGCACATATGAAAGAGGGAGTCTGTGGCCTGGGACCCAGATAGGTTCAGCAGGCATGAGTAGCTCTTGGTGCTATTTGTGGACTTGCAATTTGACAGGATGCTGGCAGGACACCTTGGCTAGGAGCTGTGCGTGCGGAGCTAAGCAGGCAGAAGCAGAAGGTGACACAGCTGCTTGAAGTAGTCGGAGGTAGATGGCTTGTCGGCCTTTTGGCTGAGGTCAAGTGTGTACGTTGGAGATGACTGCAGAGTGGTGGATCGGGCCTGGGTTGTGGAGGATTTCTTTTTTCATGTGTTTATAGTATAGCTACACGTAGCTGATAACTATTTTTTTTTTAAGATTTATTTATTTTTATTGGAAAGGCAGATACACAAAGAGGAGGAAAGAGAGATCTTCCATCTGCTGGTTCACTCCAGAGCTGAGCTGATGTGAAGCCAGTAGCCAGGAGCTTCTTCCAGAACTCCCACATGGGTGCAGGTCCCAAGGATTTGGGTCATCCTCCACTGCTTTTCCACGCCACAGGCAGGGAGCTGGAAGGAAAGTGGAGAAGCCGGGATGCAAACTGACATCCATATGGAATTCTGATGCGTGCGAGGCAAGGATGTTACCCACTAGGCTACCGCACCAGCCCTGGTGATAACTATTTTAATGACCAGATGGAATACTTATGCTTTAGAAAAGGTATGAACTTCTCCTAATTTGAGGAACTTTTCATTTTGTTTATTGCTAGTTTATAAGCTCACCCGCTTTTACTTTGCCTCTTGGCGTATTTTCAGTAGCTGTTTTTATTTTTTCCCCACTGTCAACATGCTGTATTGGTACAGACTTGTTTTGTGTCTGGAGTGCAGAATTTCACATTTCTGAGTTGTCTGAAGTGCTTGGGTTGTCTGGGGGATGTGTCAAAGGTGGAAGCTGTTTCTGGGAAAGTACTTGCTTGTGGCCTCAGCCATTGTCGCAGCACGTGACCCTGTACTTACAGCAGCCTTTGGGCGGCCTGTGTTCTGTCAGTTTGGAGCAGGCAAAGGGAAAGACCATCATATTGGAGAGAACCTGGGATAGAGGGAGAAGCTGACAGAAAAGGATTAAGTGGAGAAACTGTAGTAGAATGCAAGGAGGCAGGAAGATTTAATAACAAGGTGCTTTTTTTTAAGTTTTAATTAAAAAAAAAATTGGGGGGGGGCCTGGTACAGCGTGGCCTAGCAGCTAAAAGCAATGCCTTGAATGCGCCGGGAGTGATTCATCAGATGGATGATCTTCCTCTCTGTCTTCTCCTCTCTGAGTATCTGACTTTCCAATTAAAAAAAAAAAAAAAAAGAGGATGGTGAGGCAGTCCTAAAAACATAGGCTAAAGACCTGGTGTGATGGCTCAATGGCAAAATTCTCACCTTGCAAGCACCAGAATCGTGGGACCCTGCACCCTCATGGGTGACATGGAAGAAGCTCCTGGCTCCTGGCTCGGATCAGCTCAGCTAAGGCTGTCAGTCATTTTGGGGGTGAACCAGAGAATTAAAGTTGTTTCTGTCTCCTTTTCTCTGTAAATCTATCATTCCAATAAAAATAAATAAATCTTAGAAAAAGAAAACATAAGGGGTCTGCTTGCTCACACTTTTTTTTAAAGATTTATTTAGATTGGAAAGTCAGATTTAGAGAAGGAGAGACAAAAAGATCTTCTATTCACTGGTTCACTCCCCAAGTAGCCACAACAGCTGGCGCAAAGCCAGTCCGAAGGCAGGAGCCAGAAGCTTCTTCTGGGTCTCCCACGTGGGTGCAGGGTCCCAAAGCTTTGGGCCATCCTCTACTACTTTCCCGGCCACAAGCAGGGAGCTGGATGGGAAGTGGAGCAGGTGAGAAACAAATTGGCACCCATATTGAATCCATGTGTGTGCAAGGCGAGGACTTTAGTCACTAGGCTATTGCATCACGCCCTGCTCAAACTTCTGAGGAGGGTATCCAAGTCATAGTGTTAAATGTTATAGCTGGAGGGCAGTGTCAGTCCTTGTTCCACACTGAAGAAGAACATCGGGGCCAGCGCGACAGCGTACTGGTCTTGGAGCCTTGAATGCTCCAAGATTTGAGATGGTCGCCGGTTCTATTCCTGGTGGCCCTGCCTCCCATCCAACTCCCTGCTTGTGGCCTGGGAAAGCAGTCGAGTACGGCCCAAAGCTTTGGGGCCCTGCAGTAGCATGGGAGCCCCGGAAGAAGCTCCTGGCTCCTAATTTCAGATTGGTGTAGCACTGGTTGTTGTAGCCCCTTGGGCAGTGAATCATCTGATTGAAGATCTTCCCTTCTCTCTCCTCCTCTCTGTATATCTGACTTTCCGAAAAAAAAAATTAAATAAATAAATAGTTTAAAACAACAACAATAACAACATTTATGTGAGGGGGACGGAGACAAGACAGAAGCTGCAGCCCGGCCCATGGTCAGCATCGCCCACGGGGTGGGAAGAGTCCAGCACCTTGACGCATCATGTTGCCTCCCAGGGTCTGCGTCGGAGGCACGGTGGGGGCATGAGCCCAGAGCAGGTACACAGTGTAGGTACTTCAGTACAGGACATGGGCATCCTGACTGCTGTCTTCCCTGCTGGGCCACGGGCCACCTCTCTCCGGGAGCCTTTCCGTGCTCACTCTAACACTGATGGTGACAGTCATGTCTGTGCAGGGAACTATATCAGTAACACACATTTAAATTTTTATGTGAGGGCCCGGCAGCGTGAACAAGTGGCTAAAGTCCTCGCCTTGAACATGCAGGGATCCCATATGGGCACTGGTTCTAATCCCAGCAGCCCCACTTCCCATCCAGCTCCCTGCTTGTGGCCTGGGAAAGCAATCGAGGATGGCCCAAAGCTTTGGGACCCTGTACCTGCGTGGGAGACCCAGAAGAAGTTCCTGGCTCCTGGCTTCAGATCAGCACAGCACCGGCCATTGCAGTCACTTGGGGAGTGAACCATCGGACTGAAGATCTTCCTCTCTATCTCTTCTCCTCTTTGTATATCTGACTTTGTAATAATAATAATAATAAAAAAATGTGAAAAGTGTTTGTGGTGTTTTTAATTCACTATGTCCAATCATATTGCTGAGTCTATGATTTGTGTGTGTGTGTGTCTATTTTGTGTGTTTACACGCATACCCCTTCTCCAGGGCAGCACGCGGACATGCTAAAGACACTGGGTCAAAAAACCTAACCTCCAGGATGGGGTGGTCCTGGAGGCCTGCCAAGCTTCCCACCAGAATAGTTTTTAAAGGTTTATTTATTTTGGGCCTGGTATGATGGCTGCAAAAGTCCTTGCCATGAGCGCACCAGGATCCCATATAGGCATCCCTTCTAATCCCGGTGGCCCTACTTCCCATCTAGCTCCCTGCTTGTGGTCTGGGAAAGCAGTCAAGAACAGCCCAAAGCCTTGTACCCTGCACCCAAGTGGAAACCCGGAAGGGACTCCTGGCTTCGGATTGGCTCAGCTTCAGCCATTGCAGCTGCTTGGAGAGCGGATCATTGGATGGAAAATCTTCCCCTCTGTCTCTCTTCTTCTATGTATATCTGACTTTCCAATAAAAATAAATAAATCTTTTTAAAATGCCTCAATAGAATATAGAATAAACAATACCTAATTAGATTACAGAATTTTCAGCAGGGTGGTCTGGTGTCCAAGCAAAGGGGATGGAACTGCCTTTAGGTGGTTGCAGAGACATCTGCCAGGCGTTGCCTTGCAGTGGAAAACTCGCAGCCTTGCCTGCAGGGAAACAGATCTCCTCATACCTTCCTGTCCTCCACACCCACTGCATGGGCCCCAGCAAAACTAGGTCTTGACTCCTGCTGAACTATGTGAAAGCTGTGTCTGGGTGCGGACCAGGTATCACTGGGTTGCAACATCCAACAAGAACCAGAATGAGCAAGACCACTGTTCTTGTCATGACAGGAGGTGGAAAAAGTCAACCTGGGCCAACAACCCACTGGTGTGCATGAGAACTGACACTGGGAGGAGACTCGGAGGAGCTTGGGAAACTCCTTCACTGGGATGCACTCCCTGCAGGTGATTGCAAGAAGCAAGGCAAGGAGCAGCCCACATCATGCC